TTTTAGTTTTCTATACCGCCTTATAATCTTGCTGGTTTTTCGTCGTCAGTGCAGTTACAGCGTGCGCTCTCAAGACATCATTACCCGCAGCGTCCCCGGACTGAACTCAGGCCTTTTTTTTACTCTGCTCCTGTAACCTGCAACACCTTGCAGTAAGATCTGCAGCTGTCCACTTTTTGTTAAGTTCAATGCAAAAATCAATGCAGACATGTTCCTGTTTTTAGTATTTTAAGTCATTTCATAATGTAGCTTGATTGTATTTTGTTTTTTATCACTACTTTTATTTATTTCTCATTTTAAATGCATTTTATTGTTGTGTGTACCTTGTCTGAGGCTTTGTCTAAAACAGGTCTCTCTTGTAAATGAGTCCTTGTGACTCACTGAGACTAACCTGTAGAAATAAAGGTTGAATGAAAACATTTTTTAATCACATGCAGGAACTTTAATCACGAGCTGCAGACACAGCTGAGCTCAGAGCTTGATTTCTGAACAGATAGGTAAACACTGTTCCCGTGGAGACAGTGGCTAAAATGTGGTTCCATCTACGTGTTCAGAATCCAACGTTTACACGTTCGAACTGTTAGTTCTGTAATCGCAGCGTCAGAGCAAGCCAAGGGTGAAATACGCCCTGAGTCACGTTTAAACACTGCTATTATGTTTTAGATTAACGTAATGGTTATGGTTGGGGTAAATCTTCTCTGTTGTTTTCTAATCAGAGGTTAATACAAAAAAAAAATACAAATAAATACAACTTGGAAAAACTTTTACAGATGTTTTCCTGAAAACTAGTTCCATCTCACGAAGAAGACATTGTTCTGTTTCACCTCGAAGAATCTGGATTCACTGCAGAGGCCAAGCAAAAGTTGGTCCCTCAGTTGTGGAGTTCAGAAAATAAAGACTCTTGTTTTGTAGATTGTTGCAGATGTGTGGACCTTCAGAATAAAACATTATTTAAACTATTTGGTTTCATCAATCTGAACGGTGGTGAATATTACAAAGTTTTCTTAAGAATTATTAATGTTGTCAACGAAACATGAATCAGCTTTCTTCTATAAAATCAAACAGAACTTTTGGAATCATTTCAGCATAGCCAGACTCTTATTTTGATGAGCACCTTCAAGCTTTATTTTGAAAGTCCAGGCTAAAACATTCTCATGTTTGCATTTTAGGTTTATTCGGATTGAAAAATACAATTTTGCAGAACGTATGTTTAAATTTTTCTAAACTCTCATCCATCCATCCATCCGTCTGCCCTTCGTTCATCCACTTGTCCGTCTGTCCATTCATCCGTCCATCCATCAGTCTGG